GATGTGATTTAATATTTAATAAAACGAATAAACAAATAATTAGAATAATTAGAATAAACGAATAAAACAAATAAAACAAATAATTCGAGTAAACGAATAAAACAAATAAATGAATAAAACCGAACAAAACAAATAAAACCGAATAAAATGAATAAAACTAAAACGAATAAAATGATAAAACAAACGAATAAAACGAATAATTCGGGTAATTCGAATAAATGAATAAAATGATAAAACAAACGAATAAACGAATAAACGAATAAATCTAATAAAATGCATAATCCGAATAAACGAATAAAATGAATAATTCGAATAAACGAATAAAACGAATAAAACAAAAATTTGAATAAAACGAATAATTCCTTTGAAATAAAATGAATAATTCAAATAATTCGAATAAAACAACCTCAACGTAAGTATTATTTATTGTTTTGAGAGCTATTCTAGTTTAGAGATTGGGATCAGTCAAAATTTGTTCATTTTATTCATTTTAACATTATTTATTTATTTACTTGTAGCGTACCAGGATTAGTTGCTGAATCAACACTAATCCTGATGGAAGGAGAATCAGCTAAGGCATTTGCCTTAGATGTTTTGGAGGTTGCCAATAACAAGAAGTGGGGAGTATACATGGGATGGTAATTACTTTGCCAAAAACGTAATACGTAATACGTAATTACGAAATCAATTACGGGTGACGAAATCAATTACGCGTGACGAAATTAAATGACACCTATTATTTATCTCGTTATATTAATATAATGACATAATTTGTCAACTTTTTTTAGAATTATAGAATTTATTCTGTTATAACGACATGTCAGTATAATGGGAGAACCAATCAAAGTCATTCCATATAATCATTTCTGAAAAAACATAAGGAAATTAAAACTTACGCCGGTTGATCTTTTGAACGAAGGTGATGGTGATGACCAAGTACAACAAACAAGTTGGTTGGCATCAATTTTTAGGTTGCACGGGTAGATAATTGACGTGAATCGGGAGAAATCTTTTGTGAAACAAAAAATACACTATTATTATTATTATTGCCTTCATTTATAAAATGTCTTCAAAAGAAACTATTTATGATGCATTCAAAAAACCGAAAAATTTAATATCACCACCAATATCAGAATGGGAATTTGGCGTAGGAAATATTCCAGCACCATATCCTTATTCATTTAAGCCTGAAGGTTTTTTATTTATTCCTTAATTATTGTAGTTGTACTGTAGATTAAAAGTAATCATTGTTATTATTATTATTCTTAGAATTACTGGCAGATTTAGGTAATTTTCCAAAAAAGAATAGTTATGAATCACAACAACAAGGATCATCTAATAAAATTGATAATGATTTAATATCGGTAATAATAAGAAAAATATTTATATTATTATTTATATATAATAGTTATTAACGATAAAAACTAATGAATAGGAACAGCGTGAGATGTCCAAGAACATAATTAGAACTCCAAGTTCACCAGAAGATTTTTCGTTATTAGCTGATACAACACCCTCCAGGAATAAAATTCTATACAATAATAGTACATTTGCAAGTTCACACCAATCACAAATCGATTCAACTTTAAGATCCAGAACATCTTCATCTTCGTACACAGGTCATCATCATATAAATGATAGACCATACAGTATTAGTGCATTAAGAAGACCTTCTCAAATTATTCTTTCTAAATATGACGAGAATGTTGAAATAGGGTAAAAAATGCTTTTAAATAAATAGCTTTTATTATTATTATTATCAACGTTACTATTATTTTAAAAACAAATATCATTATTTTTTTTCTTTAAGCAGTAAAGAATCAACAATTGCAACAAATTTCGATCCAGAGAAAGAAAAATCATTTTATGATATTGCCATAAGAATTTATCGAAGATTCAGCAGCATTGATAATTGAATGATTGATTGATTGAATTATTTATTACAGTGAAAAGTTAAATTTAAATATATCTATAATATTAAAAATATATTGCTATTTGCTAGAATTAACAACAAAATTCAAAAATTCAATGAATATATCTTCTACATGTATGTGTATGCATACATTCATATATATATATATTAACATTCAACGTTTTCTATCTTGATGTTTTTATAACTCTGTATCTATCTTTAACTCGCACAAATTCATCATATAAATCCTTTTCAATTGTCTTTCCATTTCTCAGACCAAGCTTGTTCTTATTACAAATTTCATATCGATTTCATATTAGGATGTTCCATTATCAAACAAAATCTTTAATATGCTTGATAAAATCAGTTTAACTTGACATCCGACAATATTCATTCGGGCCTTGAAAAGGTGATGGGTGTGTGAAGATTCACTATCAAAACAGTTGAAATACATATGATGATCATCATTTATATTTGAATTCCTACCAGCACTTGATAAGTATAGGATAATATTTCTATGGTCCTAAATGTATATCCTCATAAATATAATAAAAATAAATAATAATCATTTCATAAAGAGTGACTGATTGACACATACTAAACTTTCCCATAAATTATCTTCAATAATTTTTATTTGGATCATTTGCATTAATTTATGTGGTTGTGTAATAATCGAAATGATGAAATATGAATCAAAAGAAAGAAACATTAAAAAAATAAAAATTATTTCGATTAACTGCAACAACAACCACCCACCATACCAAAGAGAGGAGGAGGCAAACAAATAAAAGGTTCAAAATTTAATAACAATAATAAAAACGAACCACAAAAGACCCTCAACAATTAAAACTGGTATTCAATATATTCTACTATAATGAAGACACTTGGCCCTCACAGCTTTCTGTGCCACAACGTCAGTTTTTGAGAATCAAAAGATTTTATTGTCACGTGTTTTGTGAAGATCGTCAAGTGCAGATTGCCATTTTACGATCTATTAAATAAACGTCTATTTATGATATTTGCCATATTCAATTTTTTTAAAAAAAATTGAATATTTTACAAAATTTTATTTTTTATTAAAAATCTTCTTTAGTTGACTGTGACAAACCAACTTCTTCGAATGTAAGAAGATATAAGCCATTCTGGGATGAATTTATTCAAAAACTCACCAATTGGTGTTGGTTACCCTTAAAAACTAATAGCGAATTACCGTGCTCAAGTCAATGGAAGGACTCTTTAAAAAGACTAGCTCTTGGTTCATGGATTACAATTGAGTCAGCTAAACCAACAGCTAAAGGTTTAAATAGTCTTTTTTTTTTACCAGATGGAACATGAAAGAATTTTAAAGATGTGATTCTTTTTCATCTTCTTTTAAAGTCGAGGATGTTGTTCCTTCGTCTTTGATCTCCTTTCCAAAAAACTTCCACCGGGAAAACTCTTAAAATTAGGCTTTTACCCTAATTCGGAAGAAAAAGCAAAATATTAACGTACAACCGATGCCTAGCTGCAATTAATCATAATATAAAAAAATAAAAAAATTGTTTACGTGAAAATTGTATCGCTGAAAAATTAAAGAAATTAGTCTTTGATAGGGTTCTTGACATTAGTATTGGTATTAGGGGTGCAAGAAATGATTGACCTTTTAAATTGCTTTAAAAAGGATAAATTGCAGTCAATCACCATTCTATCAGAAAAAATCGTGGTCATTATTCATTTCTCGGATATTGAAGCAAGAGAAGAAATTCTTGAAATAAATTATGACCTCCATGTCTCATCATGAATCGTCTTGGTGAATTCTATTTTGTACCTCTAAACCACTCGAAACTAAGGCTGATAGCCAAATTTCTAAATTTTCGGTGGTCGAAGAAAATAGAGGCACTGGCATCATTTCTCTGACTGGCTATAATCCAAGTGGTGGTGAAGTTATAGAATGGGAAAAGGGGGATATTAATAGAATACATCGCTTGTGCTTGCATTGTGATAGAATCCAAGGTGAAAAGAAAGGGATTCTATTCATGTCAAAGCAAGTAGGCGTAGCGTATGCTCTGTCGATGAATGCTCCAGATTCACAAGAAATTCGTAATCTTAAGTGTGGATAAATGTCATCGAAGATTAGCAAGATAATTTTGTGAAAGCCATCATGTAGTATTGCTCACCGAATTTAAAACAAAAGACATGGTTAAAAAACACGGTCTAGAAAAATCTACTCTAAAACTGCATGGTCACGTTACCGTTTTCACCAACATTTGCTCCACAAATCCGCGGGTACCCTTGATGCAAGGTCAAAATCGTCTGCACTGAGGAATATACTAACAAAACATGCAGATGTTGTACATCTTGCAAATCCACAATTAACAGGGATGTAAAACGGAGTTCGTAATATGCTTTGAAGTATATTACAGAAAAACAACAAGAGTCGTTTGCGACGTTAGGGCTTACACCCGAGACACCTTATTGTAGGCTGTCTACGTATGACTTGTACTTAGTATTGGCATAGGTTCAATGTAAGAGGTTACTAAAAATTCCTTTATTTATACATATATTTATTATAGTACATTTCTTTTACACAGACATCCTTACAATGATTTTTCTTTGCTTGTTATTGAAATATCCTTTTTTACTTTGAGAGCAAATTCTCTGGTTCATAGACGACGGATCATCATTCATCAACTAAATATCGGTTGGGTTATTTTTATTACTCGCAAGCAAAATTTTTGGTTTTTATGAAATTAGTAACATATTTTATCTATATAATTAATAATTAATAATAAAAATAGCGTTTAATTTTCTTTATTATTTTGTATTATAATCAATCAGGGTTAAATAAATGAAGATAATTGATCTTTTTCATTATAATAATGAAAAGTGTCTTATCATTATCCTAATAAATTTTATTCCTCCTTTTTTTTTTTGTTAAATATAAGCTGCAAAATGTATCAATATAATATAAATACGAACACAATAAAAAGAACAAAAAAATTTTAGGAAAAAAATTCTGATAATAAAAGAAATTTCAATAATAATAATGAATATATTTTTTTTTATTATAGTTTAAATTGTTGGCAGCACCTTTAAAAGTTTTTTTTTTTTAACCAAAGGTAATTTGAGAACCACCACCACCAGGAGGTTTCAAGACACTAAAGTATATATAGCATATATATGAATTATTGTTAGCGTTATTTGCAAAAATAACAATAAATATAATTTTAAAAGTACAACAACAGCAATATAGTAAATATTTACCGGCTTGAAGGTTTAACAGTTTGACGAGTTGAATGTCCAGATAATGTATCAGCTTGAGAAGCAGTGTCGTCGTCATCACCAATAGAGAATTGTGATGCATTCTTGTTTGAATTGAATCTGGTACGACTAACAACAGCTATTTGTTGAAACAACGGGTTTAAAAATAAGATAAAGGATCGCTTCTTGTTTTAAGAAAAGTAATAAAATTCAAAATTCAAAAATTCCTACGATCATCAGTCTCGTTGCTGAAAATGATTGAAGATTTGCCACCAGTACCGCCAGGTTGATTAACACGACTAGAAGTATGAACATTATGACGAGGTTGTTGTTGCTGTTGTTCTGCAAATTTTTTTAAATTTGATTGTTAGTATTAACAGCTATGTGATTAATTATTTATAAAATAAAAAAATTTTGTTAATAAACAATATTACCATTGGAGTTCATTTGCGACAAACCAGCACTAAGAACCGTTTTACCAAATGGATTGAGATGTGCATTTGCAATATTAGTTAATGATTCAGCCTGTTTATCAGTTACTATTGGCCAAGCGCTTTTCTCAGATATCCTATATAACAACAAATTAACAACAATGATGATAATGGTAATGGTGTAAATGATTATTAATATATTTAATAAAATCTTTTATAATTACAATTTAAGTTGCTTCAATACTGAAGCTTGATCCCAATAAACGCGCTATATTAAAAAATTATCATAATTATAATTTTTTTAGTGTGTGAATTAATGTATTCTCTAATAATAAAAACGCTAGTAATAGTAGTAATTAACTACATTATTAATAATTACTCACAATTGATGAGATTCTATCGCCTTCAAATTTTGCTGAAGTTACCTATTATATACGTACATGCATACAATTTTTGATTAAAAAAATAATAACGTTACATGAAAAGCAGGACAAAAAGTCTGTAAAGCCTCAAAATAATTTTTCATCAGATATCCTCATAACTCATAAATGGGTCAATAAACCTACCATTGGAATGACAACTTTGTTATCAATTGTGTATCTACTGTCAACACCAGGTACAACCCAGGAACCATCACCACTAACAAACTGAATTGTAGTTTCCGATTCTTCAACGATGGAATCATTTCCAACTGTCGAGTAAATCAATTTTTCGCTTATTTTGAGCACACGAGTATCGTATGCCTTTGCCAAGAATTGTCTAACAGCATCATAACCTCGTGCACCAGAGGCTGTCGGGACAAAAACTACGGAAGCATTATCTGTATAATGATCACCATCATGGTTATGTTTATATTCATGCCAAATTTGTTCGAGACTCATTTTTTTTATTGTTGAATAATATAGTTAATCTAAAGTTTTAATTGTTTAGCAAGTGATTGTTAGTTGCTTGGAGTATATGTGCAATGATAATTTGTGTGAAAGAAAATAAGTGAGTATAAGATAAAAATTTTTTATTTGAAATAGATTTAATTAAAATAACTCACTTATAACGCGTTATTTATTTAGGAAAATTTTTTTTAAAAAAAAGAAATGCAATTTTTTAAAAACTCGATTGGTGCATTTAATAAAGCAAAAAGTGAAAATATATTTTTTCCGTGTAACAAATTTTTTTTTATTTGTTTAACAAAATTTTTCATTATCCATTGAACAATTGATATATTTATAAGAAAATAAAATTCGTTTTTGGCACAATTTTCATAACTTTTATTATTATAATTGGTCAATTTAAAGATAATCAATCAATTTAAAAAAAGTAAAAGAGGTTTTTACAAAAAACCCACAAGGACAACGACCGAATTTTTTTTTATAGATCAATAATAGATTTATTATTTTCATATTTTTCATATTAGAAAGTGGATACTCTGAACCAAATTGGGAAGGTTTTATATGTAACCAAAGAAAATTTCGGCAAAAAACATCCAAAGGATAAAAATGCTCTGAAAATGACATAAAAATATCCAAACTCATAACTTATCATTAAAAATAAAAAATAAGCAATCTCATTATAATCAAAATGATGAAAGTGATGAAATGATATGTTCCAAAAGGATATTATCCTGACAGTTCTGAAATTGACTAAGCTTGTACATCATATGCTATTATAATAACAATAATACTTTTAAATATTGTCTCGAATAAATTGGTGGATTATTATAAAATGCTGCCATGTAGGAAATTCAACAACTACTTATTATAAGCCATCAGACTCCAATCACTATTGAAAAATATATTAAGTGTAACATTCTGAAAGTGTATTACTATTATGACAAACATTTGGCGCATATTTTTTTTTTCTAATAAAGGCTCATAATTTTATTAAATAAAGTAAATAAAATAATAGTTCACACAAAATAATTTCCAAATTAACTTTATGTGAGGCTATTCATTCCTCTTGAAAATAATTAAAAAAAATTTTTTTTGACGTTTCAGAAAGAACAGATATGCCAAACAGCCTAAGAAGTTATTTTTATTCAGTCTCGATTAACTACGTCGTAGAGATTGTTACTGGTCCGGTCGGGTATTACCTAGGTAGTAGGAAGTCAGTACTGATGAAATATTAACATTTGGCGCATATTAATAATGATTGACAATCAGGAACCTATATATAGACTATTGAAATGATCACAATATGTATATTTTTATTAACTACTTTAAAATTAGGCCCCAATTCCAGCAAACTGAACCTTTTTTTTCAGAGAATTGAAAAAATCAACAACAAACAGTTAATTGCTTTAAACAATAATAATATTGAAAAAACACTTACACCCATTTACTATCTAAAATAAAATGAAAATTAATAGTTAATACTTTTTCAGAAACAATGATATTGACTGTAGTAATGAAAAAATACTTGCGCACTATTATTATTTAAAATAAAAAATTAATAGTTAATCTTTATTTTTTTCAGGAATAATATTAAATGTAATAATAATAATAATAATGATAAAAAAATCATACATGATGGCGAAATAGTTTTGTTTCGACAATAATTTCGACGATTAGGGTTCAAACATTTCGAATATACCCTAACAGGTTTCGAAAAATCAAAATTCGAAATCAAAATCGAAATTTGTAATCAAAATTCGAAATTCGAAATTAATAAATAACTTTTTTTCATTTTTGCATTAATGTCTTTAAGGTGCTTTTATTTCAATTTTTTGAATTTCGATTTTGATTTTGAATTTAGATTTCGATTTTGAATTTCGATTTCGATTTTGGATTTCTATTTCGATTTTGATTTTAATTTCGCCAAGGGTATTTCGATTTCGAAAACTTGTGTGATTTTTTCGAAAGTTTCGAATTTTATCAAATGACTTTCGCCATCATGTATGAAAAAAATACTCACTGCCTATTCATTATTTAAAATAGAATAAAAATTGACAGTTTAATTAATATTTTTTCAAAAAACCATGAATGATATTGGTAATAATAATGATGAAAATACTTGCGAACTATTTATTATTTAAAATAAAATGAAAATCAACTGTTAATACTTTTTCAGAAACAATGATATTGACTGTAGTAATAATAATGATGAAAATACTTGCACTCTATTTATTATTTAAAATTAATAGTTAATCTTTTTTCAAGAATAATATTGACTGTAATAATAATAATGATGAAAATACTTACTAGTTATTCGCAAACTATTTATTATTTAAAATCAACAGTTAATATTTTCTCAAAAACAATGATATTATTATTGACTGTAATAATTAATAATAGTGACGAAAATATTTACCGATCTATTTATTTATTTAAAATAAAATGAAAACCAACAGTTAATATTTTTTTCCAAAAAACAATGATATTTATTGTAATAATAATAAATGAATACCTCGTATCAGGTTATCAACATCAATTGATCTTGCTAAAGCAACAACAGCAAAGATAATCAAATAGAATCAAATAGATGAGAGAAATATTGAATTTCATTTGGATTTTTCAAATTGAATGCAGTTAAGAATTTTGGTTATTTTTTGCAATCACAGATAAGTGAAATCTTTAAATGTTTCAAGTGTTCGAATATCATCACCATACGAGTAGTGATGTCATCCTGTTATGCTTAGACGACTTTCTTAGCTTAAACAGCTGATAAATGTATATGAAAAAAATTTTTTATTAACCAGTTAAGAAATTTTCGCCATGAGAATTCAAATGGCTTAGCCGGCTGGTAATTTTTACAAATTGTAAATTTAAAAAACCAGTTTTTTTAGTTGAAAGGAAAACCCATCGACAATTTACATAGAGGACATATGATTTTTATTTGACTTTACAAAAAGTATCCATAATAGTAGTAGTAGATCCATCTTTAATTATAGATTGCAATTTCACATGCAACACCCTTATGACCGTCTATATATTCTACATCGTCTTCGAATTTACACGACAAATATAATAATAATAATGTTTGTCATATTGAATTCGTAAATCTGTCAGTGACATTGATACTTTAAATTGAGTGTCCACAACAAGATTAGACGATAGATAGTATGCAAATTTCCAATACAGGGGTTTTAATGTAAATGAAGAAAATCTAATGAAGATATACAATTGACACTATTGTGTTGTTTGTAGGAAAGTGTATATTTCATGAAATTGCAAAGCTCACATTGTATCTTCAACTTTAAACTTGATTTTTCATAGAATTTTTTTTACTATATACATAAATAAAAAAAAGGTTGTCATGTCACATTCTCTTTATATGATAAGTTATTCTAATTAGAAAAAAATAATAAAGAAAAAAATGAAAACAGCTAGTACTTACTCAATTGAAAAAAGAAAACAAAATACAGGCCACATATCTTGTGAAGTTTAAAGTGTCTATTATATTGAATCCCGTCCAATATTCTATCCAAGATTTAGATTAGTTTCATGAATTGAAATCAAAAGTTCTTTTACTAATTATAACGTTTACAAATATAATTAGTTATTATTCTTACTTTTGACGAACAGCCATTATTTTCTCTTCTTCTTTAACAACAACAACAACAAGTTTTTATTCTGACTTCTTCCTAACACCACTATATAATAATACAATCTATGACTGAACCTTCATCTATACCATTCATCTATGACTAAATCTTCAATTTAGCATTCAATTTAATTTTTCATGTTTTTTAAATTTGAGTGAATACAAAATTCCGATTGGCTAATTAGAATTTTACGCGCGTAAATTTAAAATTTACAAGTTTCAAAATTCACAAACATATACAGTGTATATTTTTTTTTAAAATAATTTAAAAATAAAAAGAGATTGACTTTTGACTTAATATAATCTTATGGGGAATTCTAGAAGGTAGCTTGTTGCTTTAAACTTCGGAAGGTATCATTAAATCAGTCAATTATTAGGGAATTTGTATGATGAGAAAAGGCAATTTACATTTTACTATTACTATAGACAGGTTCACTTGCCTAGATTTATGAGGAAATAGATCATCTGCGTAAAGAATTAGGAGAAATCTTTAAATTGAAATTTTCAATTATCATGTTGACTGCTATGTCAATCAATATATTTTAAAAAAAATTTCTTCTTAATATTAACATAAATTGAAAAAAGTGCACTACTAGGGACCCTGAAATATATATGTAAGGTTAAGGTGACTTTAGAATTTTTTACTAATAGCTCTACGCAAGGGTTTTTTATAAATTATTAGTAATTAATTAAAGGTAAAATCTAAATACAGAATATTTTTAGTAACATATAGGGTTACTTGTCTAGATTTTTTTGATAGATGATTACACCTTTGTAAAAAATACATCAAACAAATCAACCCATTACAATCACGAAAAAAACAAATATTATTATTTACAGGATTTTTATTATTTTATTCGTGTAATATCAGCAATAGTCTTAACGTTAGGATTAGGATTAGCATTTATAATCCCTTACTTTATCATAATATTTATTCCGTATTTTTTGATATAGAATGATTTGTTTTCAGATTAACAGTTATCACATTTTTATCATGTTTAGCTTGTAAAGAAGTAATCTTTGGCATAATTGAAAATTTATTCTAAAAAACAAAAGCAAAACAAACAATTAATACATAAATAAAATAACCAATAATTAAAATAATTTATCAATTAATTGTCTCACCCATTTTGATTCATTTTCTAAAATTTGTGAACACCTTTGAACATTATTTCTTGTTAAAAACCATCTTTCTACCATTACTTCTTTGTTCTCTTTTATTGATAATTGAACATCGTCTTCATCTTCATCTTTATATTTGAAAATCAAAGATTGCCATTCTAATTCTTTATCTTTTTTTTCAAGTATTATTACAAGATTTTTGTCAGAAATAGTGAATGAATTTGACAATGAACTTGTTGATGTTGTTGTTAAAGAAGAAGAGAAAATAATGGCTGTTCGTCAAAAGTAAGAATAATAACTAATTATATTTGTAA